ACAACTACAACAGGAAATGGAATTTAATTGGTTTTGAAGATGCTGGGTGTTAAAGAGGCACATCTCAAATAAGACCTGGTGTTTGACAGTAATCATCTCAAAAATTTCTAGACTGGGTAAGATAGCAGGTGTTACAGATTGAACTGTGTCCTCCAAAAAGATATGTTGAAGCCCTAACCCCTGGTACCTGTGAATGTGACCATGTTTGGAAATAGGGTCTCTGACGATGTTATCAGTTAACACGAGGTCATACCAGAGTAGCTGGGTCCTAACGAATCACAGTGGTGGCTCTTATAAAAGAGACACAGAGAGACAGAAAGAGAAAGATGGTTATGTAATGCCGAAGCTTTGCCGCAGTTGCAAGCCACGGAACGCCTAGGGCTACCAGAAGCTGCAAGAGACAAAAAAGGATCTTCCCCTAAAGCCTTTGGAGAGAAAATGGCTCTATACACACCCTGAATTTGGACTACTAGCCTCCAGAACTGTGAGACCATAAATTTTTGTTCTTATAAGCCACCCACTTTGTGATGTTTTGTTATGGCAGCTCTAAGAAACTAATACAGCACTGATGCCTCGAATAGCTCTTCCTTGGAGAGGAAGCAGTGTAATTCTTAAGTGGTCTCTTCTCACTCCCAAAGTAAACATACTGCCATAGTTAACTATTAATTAAAATGTTCCTGGAAATGAGTTTAACTTCAAAGGTTGTGCTTTCAGACAATGGGCGTAGACTGAACATTATGCTGGCAAATCTGAAACATGATTTTCACTCACTGCTTGATATTCCCTTTGTCTTTCCTATGATATTTGGCAATAGTAACATGGATTCAGATATACTAAATTCTAGGTTTTAATAACACAGGATCTTGCCTGGGATAACTATTTTAGGTGCTAGGGATTTGTTTATTATGAAATTTTAGGATGCAGGGTTGCTATGAGTCGGAATCGACATGATGGCAATAGGTTTTTTGGGGGGAGCTGGTGCTAAAATAATCTTGTATGACCTTTCAACTCTTAGGATTCTTTATAAAGTGGGGCTCCCAGGAGAGAAGGTTCTTAAAGAATTATATCCATGTCAGTAAAAAACAGCCCAGGATTCTAGTATTGAAAGAACCCCCACTCTAACCAGCCATCCAAATGAAATATCTCTGCCTGGAGGGCAATGAGGTTTGATTTTTGAACTTTGATTTCTCTGTGAATTTTATAACAGGAGGGCTTTCATTGTTCCAATTTTTTAGTGTTGCAGACATATTTTAAAGCAGCTATTTAGACTCACTGCATAACTGCTGGTGAGCTATTTTTAGCTTGAGTGTTTTTTTTTTCTTTCTGCTTTGATTTCATCTACTTGAGAATAGTTCTTATTTCTCTTTATTACAGTTCTTTTCACTCTCTTCCATTATTTCTGACTTAATAGGAGCTACTAGCCCATTGTTGTAGCCACTGGGTCAGTCCATCTAGTTGACGGTCTTCCTCTGTTTTCACTGACCCTGTACTTTACCAAGCATGATATCATGATTGTTTAGGCTCATCTCTCTCCCTCAAATTCCTGAGTCCTTTAAATGGGTTATAATTTTCTTTTGCTGACGATGAGTGTCGGTTCCCTCAAACATGCACAGCTCAGGCTCCTGGGGTCTCTAAAGTAGTGTCAAAGCAGTTTCTGTTCCTCTGGAACTAATAACAAAGTAGCTTAAAACTGTGATTCTTCTGCTCAGACATAGGGGGTGGGGGTGAGGAAGTGAGGGAGTTAAACTTCACTCAACTGCACAGAATGTTCAGCTGCCCCCCAGGGCAGCTGGTGTTAGGGGATCGGGGACTCCCACAAGGGCCACGCAGCAAGTGGCAAGTGCGGCCCTGGTCATCAGGTCACCTAAATCCACTGGCTTTTACCAGAAGGACACTTTCATGCAACTTGCATCAAGCTCTCCCTGCCCAAGGGCACCAAAAACATTGGGGCCCAACATATTTTTATTGTCCAGAGATTTCATAGCCAGATTTGGATCAAGCTCCACCAGTAAGCTTACTTCGGTGGTTCATTCTAACAAAAACAACTTAGGAGGTAGAGGTGTCAGGAGCACATGTTCATATAGCCATCCTCTTAGAAATTTCTCCTTTCTTCTAATTATACCAGTATTCCCTAATGGACCAGTTCTTCTACCTCTTATGCTATTTCCACTTATAATGTAGGCTCTCGTTGTTGTTGTTAGGTGCCACTGAGTTGGTTCCAACTCATAGAGACTCTGCATACAACAGAAGGAAACATTGCCGGGTCCTGTGCCATCCTCATAATCGTTGCTATGTTTCAGCCCATTGTTGTAGCCACTGGGTCAGTCCATCTAGTTGACGGTCTTCCTCTGTTTTCACTGACCCTCTACTTTACCAAGCATGATATCTTTCTCCAGGGACTAGTCCCTCCTGATAACATGTCCAGCATAGGCTCTTAGAATGTTTTATAA